AAATGGAAAAAACCTGTCAGTTTTGGTAGGAAAAGCCCATGTTTGGCAACACTGTGCGTGACGTCATCTTGGTGCAATTGTTGATAGTGAGCACACGAAAAAACCAAATAACAATCTTAATATTTGTGCGTTAATAATTCTGAGTGGTTTTAAACAATTATTGAGACATTACAAAGCAAAATGAAGTGTGCAGTGCCAAAGTGTAATAGTGAAAACCAAAGGAAAGCGTGCGATATAAGTTTTTTTTCGTTTCCTACGGACGCAAACCTGGCGAAAAAGTGGAAGCAGTTATGTCGGCGAGGAGATGCATTAAACACCAAATCGAGCTTTGTGATATGTGTGTGAGCTATGAGCTTCTACATAGAACCATGTTGGCCTTTCCTTGGTGAATTGTAGTAGGTACATTTCCATGGTGAATGTAAACAGTTGGTGGTTTAGTTTGCTGGTAATGGCATACATACAAAAGCAGTTTCTACAGTAAATAGATAAATGAACTTCACTACCTACTTATTTTTGTTAGTACCTGATTTTTTTAGTGCTGGTATGAGGTAATGCACCAGTGGATAAGGTCGCCAGGCGCTAACTCAAGCGGCATCTTACCGCGCTGTTACGTACTTAATACAAAACAGTGCCCAAATTATTATACATTTAAAATTTCAGCTTAAATTATGTTTTACTTACATAGAATATTTATTTCCAAAGAAGCCACAATCATTCATCCTCTCGGAAATGGTACAAAAGTCATCAAATAAAAGCTGTGGAGTTTATGGTGGGTGGCTACCGTCCACAAATATAAATATGCACTCTGCATGGCTTTTTACAATGGCGAGTCCAAAAATTCACTTTGCTGCACACATTCCTTTTGGGCTAAATGAAATTGCAAACACTGTTAACGCATCCATTTTTTCATGTGCTAAAAATCGTACTTACCTAAAGGGGTACATGCCCAAAATTATTGGTACGTGTTCCTAATTAATCAATCTTCGATTCCTACAAAATTGAGCCATGTCATATTAAAATTAACACATTTTTCTGCATTGTTTACATATTTTTATATGCGATTTGGTATTTCTCTCTCGCAATTGCACCAAGATGACGTCAAGCAAAAATTACGCTCAAAAATCCTCTCTCATTGGCGCAATCTTGTATTCTAATAATCATTATCTATCTATCACTCTTGCCATCTAATAAATAGTGCCGTGGTTCTCCGTACCTGCTTTTAAATGATGTCACAAATTGTTGGGCGACATGAATACAGTGTAAGAAAATTCCTTTTCTATAATTGTTTCCTTATGCAAAAGGTTTCTTTTCCACCTTAGACATTCCTAATTCGTTCAAAATATGCTATTTTAAAAACACAATTCTTTCAGTGTTCCTCCGGGGTTTTTGAACATGGCGGCAATCCACTGTTTCTTCAATTTAATAGTGTTCGCTTTATTTTTGTGGAAACGAACCATGTTTTGCAAGTTCTGGATCATTTCTACATTATTTCTTCAAATATTTCTCGTATTCCAGTTCATTTGCGTTTGGTTTTTTTACATCCTATTTTTATTATATTCGTAATTTAAATAGTTTTTTTTAAATAAAATCAATTGGTGATGGTTCATGATTCTGTGTTGATTAATACATAGCACACAGAGGATTTGGAAATAACCCCTTTCATCTATGGAAACAACACTTACGGGGCAATGTTTATTGTAAAAGCATTCATATCTCACGTACGATGCAAGAACCACATTTTTTTCTTTAAATCAACATAATTTAAGCATTGTTGACGTTATTTCCATTTGAATGAGGTAATAGCACAATTTACTTTATTTCGAAATATTTCTGGACATTATTTCGCAATGGTGTCAATTGACCTTATTTCCGTTGATCTTGTTACCTGTCACCAGATCAAATACGGTTTTGTTTGATCTTACTATTTTTTTCTTTCAGTGCACGTTTTAATACCCTTCAAATATTATGATCTTGTCTCGGCGGTCAGATTAAATATTTCAATAGCTTCAAGGGACTTCTTAAGATCAGGAAGACGAGCTGCGAAAGTTCTTACACAATCGACTCTAGTAGATTAATATTTCTCAGTAAAATCTACCACCTTTCAAGATTAGAACTGAATGTTATATAATTTTTTCGAAACTACAAAGAATATTATATCAAACTTCTGAACAGCATTCAATGTAGGTGCATAATGTAAAGTTTACATTAAAAATTTGACAAGGTATGAGACTATTAATTTTCAATGAACATATCGCGCCCTTAATCAAAAACAGTCAAAACAACTCAAGATTTTTCCAAATTGATTTTTTCTCATAAAGCTGATCACGTATCATATTACTAACGTCCGCCAAAATTTCTCTTCCTCACTATCTTCTTTATTTGGAAATATGTATTTTGAAATTCAGTTGCAGCGCTACACACCTTCGGTAAACAAATTCTAAAACATCAACGGTAACCTTTAGCCACTTGAAACTTGCACATTATTACACTAATTGAATGGGCTATAAAACTGTATACTGAAAAAATACTTCTGAGAAAATAGTTTGAAATTATGATGAATTTTTTTTAAGTGTTCTACAAAATCTTAAGCTTAGGTTTAAATATATGGTATTTGTTAAGAAATGAACTGCATTTTAATTGATTGAAAAATCTTAAAAATTAATAAATAAACATAAGTGGCAAACAATATCATTTTGAATTTGGTACAAAATGATATGTCCAACTTTGACTTCTTAAACAATTAATTTTTGTAAAAATTACATACCGTTGCACTAAATATTTTTTTAATAAAGTTTTTCTTTACTTATTTATGTGGTTAAATAATGCTACGATTTTGGTTTTAAACTATGTATACTTCATAAATGGTGTTATTCAAGTAGTTATGTAAGTTAACAAGAAGATGTAACTACATCAGTAATTATGTTCGCTTACTTTCGATAACACTGGCCCACACAAAAAAAGTGGTATCTGCTTTCAACCAGACCCACATATCGACATGTACTGAGGTCCATTTGACTCGTACACCTCCTAAATTTGGAGTTAATTGCGAAAATTGTGAAAATAAAATCACAAAAACGAGTCAAACAGACCTCAGATTTGGATTCTTCTTCTTCTTCTTTTTTGGCGCTGTAACCGCCTAAGCGATTTTGGCCGAGTTCAGCAAAGCACGCCAGTCGTTTCTCCTCTGTGCCAACTGACGCCAATTGGAAACGCCAAGTGAAGCCAAGTCCTTCTCCACCTGATCTTTCCATCGCAGTGGGGGCCTCCCTCTTCCTCTGCTACCACCAGCGGGTTCCGAGTTGAATACTTTCAGAGCTGGAGCGTCGGTGTCCATTCGAACGACATGACCAAGCCAGCGGAGCCGCTGTATTTTAATTCGCTGCACTATGTCCATATCGTTGTAAAGCTCATACAGCTCATCGTTCCATCGTCTGCGGTACTCGCCGTCGCCAAAGCCAATGCTATTCAATTTACAAAAAGAAAGAGGTCATATGTACATATATGTAAACAAAGCAATCTGATTTTTGTTAACTTTTCGCGTTTGCCCTAAAAATACTTGGAAGTACGAGTATTATCGATACTTTTTTGTAAATATGAGTACTGGCATCGATTCTTTTTTAGAGTATTATAAATGAGTACAGGTATCGATACTTTCCTAAAAAGTTCTATCACTATGCGTACTTGCGTTTTCGAAGCAGTAACGTCTGTAGCATCAAAAAATGCATTTAAATCTATGTTCGAAAGTTTGAAATATTTATGTATCTATTTATTTTCCCTTTTAATTAATACTCAAACAATTTAACACTAATTATTGGCAAATCTAAACTAAATAAAAATGTGTAATGTATTAAAGTGTACTTAATTAAACGTTTTTTTTTTATTGTATATTCATGAATTAATTTTATTTTTTGACTTCCAAAGTAGTGGTTTTGGTCCATAATTGGACTAGGATTTTTCTGTCTATTTTGAACTAGTATGAGACTGGTATATTTCTGACCAGAATCTGACAATTGCCATCTCGTAGGATATCCCCATTTTAAAAATACCAGTTGATTGCATGGAAAAAAGATAGTTGGCTGACTAGTTGGGCATGCAGTTCATACTAGTTGTGAGGTAGTTTACAACTAGTACATTTGACTACAGGGATGTTATTGCATTTTGAAAAATTTGACCTGACTTTCAGCCGGGCCCGAGTCAATTAACTGCTGACCCCTCTCTCGGCGGGCATGATCATAGATGTATTGCAGGAAATGCCCTACTATTTTGTCATATTGGTTATTCATATAACTTTCCAATGTCAATTTGCACATTTGGGCATATGCTCATGAATATGTAAACATAACTATTTATGCAAAAATTAATTTAATCTGAATATTTATAGTTGTAAATACATAGAAGAAATCGCACAAAATGGGAAAGAAAGCCAAATCAGAAAAAAGAAAGCCGAATTAGAGAAAGAAATCCAACAGTTTTAACTAGTAACATTTTTCAAAGCTCAATTCAGTTGGTTGATCGTTGCCTTTGTGTTAACATGGTAAAATCTATATTAGTGGTGTTTCTGGTAGTCCTGGCTCTAAATGCTTACGCGCAACAGCAACACCAACAAAGTGGTAAACGTCAAAAAGTCAAACAAAAACCGCAGCAACATTTGCCGGTTCCAGCATTGCATCAGAATGAAAGTCGAGATAAACCCAATAAACGTCCAGTGAAGGTTCAAAAATTCCGTTATATAACCAAAGAGATTCCAGAGCTTGGGCGAGTTCGCGGCCGTACATCTACGACCGAATGGTCGGGCAAATCCATTATACAATTTCTTGATATTCCCTATGCGAAGGCTCCTGTTGGTACACTTCGTTTTAAGGTTCATAATAATATCTTTGCTTGTCGTTTACATGTGTTTTTTTTTGTCTTATGAACAACTATCTTACTAAAAATTTCTGATTATAGCCTCCACAACCAATTGAGCCATGGCAAGGAATCTTAAATGCCTATAAACCACACGTAGGCTGTCCCTCCTCCCAAGATTTGTACAATTTTGAAACTTGGCGGAAAAAGAAAGTTGATTTCGAAGACTGTCTGCGTTTAAGTGTCAGCTCAAAATCTGTAAGTAATACTTCTTCAAACATATTATGTACATAACGATACAATTCAAAATTCAAAAAATAAAAACTCATACTGCTCTTAAGCAGCTCATGTCTCTAATCCTTTTCTAATCCATGTCTAATCCTAAAGTAAAGGATTAGACAAGGATTAGACAAGGATTAGATACAAGAGCCATTTAACAGTAGTAATTATTATTTTTTTTATTTTGCATTGTGTCTTTATTGCAGAGGACCATCGATATGCAAGTATGTAAATATTTCAATCAATCAGCTTTAAAAAATGCAAAAAGTTAGAAGTGATATGATTTTAAATTTTAACTGAAAACAGCATCGCACTAGAATACAGAAGTGAACGGAAGAGAACAAGGCTTAGGGGCAAACCATAAATAAACTAGAAAAGAAGTCTTAGTTCAGGTAGGGTGACCAGACGTCTTGATTTTTCAGGACATGTCCTGATTTCAGGGTCGAATTTAAGTGTCCTGACTGATTTTTAATTCGTCCTGATTTTTACAAATCTGACCTTTTTTCTGTGTAAACATATCGCTAGGCGCTTTTTCGTACATCATAACATAATAACACCGCTGCAAAACTCGAATGACTGAAACTACAATCCACGTACAGAATTTTTCGATTGTCACTAACCCATAAATAGAAAACTACTGTGTCAAGGTACAACTGGTTTGTTGCCAGAACTGTGGGAATGAAGATGCCATAAGCACGGTTGCCGTTTTGGTCCAAATCAGTGTTGATATTTGAGATTTTTAAATTGTACTAACTTAACGACAAAAACTGTAACTTTTTGACCTTAATTGTACTTTTCACCATTTCCGTCAATACATTACCTCCCGTTTTCCAACCAAACATACACTATTTTTTGTCTACAACAGTGAGTTTATCTTTCAGTTCATTGTACAGCTTCAGTTGAGATAAACTTAATTTAACGTAACTTATCATTGAGATCTCTCCAACTAGCCCATAAAGTCATAGCCAGTTTTGTCAGAAAGTCCCACTAAGTTAAACCAAGTTTCATTAAGTTTACAGTTTAACTTAAGTATACATAAATAAATTCTTAAATTGTATTCCACATTTTTAAAAGTACACCGCGGGATAAAATTCTACGGTTACCTAGTTTGAGCTATATATTTAATTTTTTCATATAAAATAATATGCAAACATCCTTATATGGTAGAAGGTCAACAAAAAAAAAAGAAACAAAAATCAATGGTATTTTTTAGACATTTCAAACTTGCACCTTTTAATAAATTAATGGCATTCAAAAATGTTTACAAATTCTGAATAAAAACTGTGGAATTTTGATGAAAATTTGTTGATTTTTTCAATCTTTGAATTTGTGATTTATTTCGTTTTGTTCGACAATAAAAAAAATAATATTAATTAGAAAAAATACAAAAGAAATAGCCTAACCCGGGTAACCATATAATTTTGTCGCGGGATGTACATTCAAATATAAAGACAATAACGACAAAAAATTTATACAGATGATAGATCAGTTTATATTAGGGAAAATAAATCATATAAAATGAGATCAGTAACACTAAAATGGAGGTCCAAAATAGAAATTTTTAGTTTCAACGCATGAAATTTACGTAAAATTGTTTACTTTCAACCCCTAGTTATTCAATTACTTCATTTTCTGCTGGATCGTCATTAGGTTAGCTGCATTTCCAAAGATTTTTTCAAAATAAATAGCGATGAGGGATATTTCACCCACCGGTGATAAAAAAAATCGCAATAACCACAAGGCTCAACAGTAATATTAGCATTCACAATCACGTTTACTTTCAAAATTACAATTCAGAATTTCGTTTCGTACCAAATATGAAATATAGGTATGTCCATTTACTTAAACGCAAACGGATTAATAATCACAAGTGCTGGCAGAGATTTCAACGTTTTGCACAAAAAGTATGTTTGATGTTGAAACTGTACTTAAAATAGGTAAATTGTACTTTTGTAATTTTTAAAACTAATTGTATTGAAAAAAGTACAATTGTACTTAAAATATCAACACTGGACCAAATTTGGTCCATTTTTTTCATTTGGTCCATTGGTCGAATGCTTTTTCAAATGGTCCATTTCACAAGTGCTTTCACTTCATGCAATAGTTTTTAAATTTTCTATTTAATTGATGAATTTTGGCAACACCTGCTAAAAGTTTGAATAAGCCACTGACCTTCAAATAGGGCATCGCTAATCTGTCAAAGCACGCTTCAAAAAATTCCACGGTTTGTTGCTAATTTCAATTTAATTTCAATTTAAATGTTCCTTTCAATTCATGTATTTATGTCGAATTTCCACTATGCATTGAAATAACAAAAAATTTATGCCATTTAAAAAAAATACTATGTGGAAATGAACTTAATAATTATTTTTTTGATGTAATGGCACGGTTATTGGTTAATGCCCTACTTTGTCATTTGCCATTTAAAGCCTAGTGGAAATCCAGTATTAGTTTTGAAAACTTGTAAGTACATGTGTGTACCTGAAAGTGTGTTATTTATTAATATCTGTGTTCGTATGGAATAGTAGCTTATAGAGTTGTAAAACTATCGATATTGCCACCATCGATAGTTTCCATGTTTCAGAAAAAAACTATCATTACTCGTTGATAGTTTCCAGCAATACTATCGATAGTGTCAAACGCTACCATCGATAGTACTATCGATAGTCAATGTAATGTTAAAAACTCTTCCAAATTAACAGGGACGGCTTCGATAAACAAAAGAACAAAATATTGAAAATATAAACACAGTAAGTAACTTTTAACTTTAAAATTCACTCACATGTATAGTTCTGTCTAAGTAAAGCATTTTATTATCGAATATCTTTTATTTATTTACATATCTATTACTGAAGCTTACAATTAAAAATAAAATGATGAGCCTAGTAAAGAAAGCTTCTTCTTATGATCTATAACAAATGGCAACAAAAATGGGAAAAAATTTGTTGGGGCAAATGTTACAGCTGTTTTTGATTGACTTGTCAGTGCTGATTACGAATTCATAAGCATAAGGTTTCCATCAGCTCCAGATTTTGTGAAAAACGAGGTCAAAATGTCAAAAAATCGTTTTTTTTTGGCAATATTTTAGAAGCTCTAGCAAAGAATCAAAAGGCGGTATTACGCTTAAATTAAAGCTAGAAGTCCCGACTGCTATACCTGAAAATACCATCCCTACACCTTGACCTGATGGTCACTTATAGTCATTCATTGAACAGCAAAACCTGATTTTGTACGAAGATTGAGTACCCACCGCAATTAAACAAAAGGGGATAAAGCCTTCCACTTGGGCTGAAATTAAGGTTTAAACTTTCGACTACAATCGCTTAAAATACCATCCCTGAACCTTAACCCTAAGGTCACTTATAGTTTTTTATTTAACAGCAAAAACTGATTTTGGCAAACCTTATTTATTTTTTTCAATAGCACAGTATTTATTCCAGTATTTTTATATTGTTCAATAAATGACTTTTAGTGACCATCAGGTCAAGGTGCAGGGGTAGTAGCCGAGAGTTATAGCTTTAATTTAAGCCCCAGTTAAAGGTTCTAAAGGTTGTTTTTTATGGTAGACCTTCTAAAATATTGCAAAAAACGCGATTTTTTTACACTTTGACCACGTTTTTCGTAAAATCTGGAGCTGATGGAATCTTTATGCTTACGGACTCGTAATAAGCATAAAAAAGTTAAATTTCGTAATATCATTTTTTGATTTGTTTACAGCCAAGAAACATACAAACGTCAAACACCGATAATAGAAATGCTTTACTTCAGAAATAGCCTTATGGTTTGATATAAAGGGATTCGATGATTTTATGAGCGGTATTGCATACCTACACTCTAAAAAATTTTTGTTTAAATTTGGGCATATTAAGATAGTTAACCAGTTTCCTCTCTTAATGAATGCAAATTTACACACCGTGTTAATTAAATTAAACACTGCTTGTGTACTGTTACTTATCATATGTGGGGCGTAGAACAAATTTCAGATTTGTTTTTTGAGTTCTAAACATTTATTGTTCACAATTTCACAGTTTACACATAAAATGTTTAAAATTTCCTCTAAAAAAATTTTGTTTATATTTACGCATATAAAGAGAGGTAAACAGCTTCCTCTCCTAATGTGTGCAAAATTAAATACTGTCTGTTTAATTTTACATACCAAATTTGTTACGTAGAGAAAAATTACACACAACGTGTTTAAAATTAGTAAATATGAGCACTTAATATTGATTATTTGCAAAAAATACATTTTTACTTTCAAAATGTTTGTAATTTTAAACATTTCATGTGTATGCTTTAAAGAACTCATGTTCCAAATCAAATCTTGAATATCTTGTGCGTATATTTGCAAAAAAAAACACTTTTCAGTAGTAGTTTTACATGCACTTTTTAGAGTGTAGTTACAAACGACATCCGGAAGAGAACATTCTCAATCGACTCTGAATCCTACTCAAACAACTTCTTATCAAGCGAATATAAATGAGCAGTGGTAATCGATCCCTCAAAATCTTAGTACCGCTGCGGTTGGCTGGTGTCACCCATACCAGGAACAGCTGGTATGGCGAAAAGTGCCGTTCAGCTGCTGCATAGAAATGTGCATCATTCCAAGCTACCCTGCTCTACGCGCGGACGCGCGCAACAATTGAGCGATACTGGGAAAAAAGGGTGGAAGGCGTATTTTTAAAAAGAAGAAAGGATAGGCAGAAAGGCATGAGTGTGAAGGTTGTGATGCTGATAGGAAGGAATGCGGCGTGAAATTTGTATCAGAAAATAATAATAGCGACACAGAATGACGAAGAAGAATGCTGCGGTGGTTCCAAGTTATCACCGTGGAAAAACGCAGGCCTAATGTGCAAATGGAGAGCATCACAACGAACTCGAATACGCACATCATTTTGTATTATTTATATGTTTAATATATTTTTTTAATTCCAATTCATCTTTCAAGCTTTAGGAGAGCAGCTGCCTACATATGCTTAAGC